ACAGGTCTTCCCCATTCCCATCATATTGAACGCTGGCCTTCACATTCCTCCCCTATTACCTCATAATGCCACAGAGTTTCAGGAAAATATAATAAGATTGCAAATAGCTCTCTCCAGCTACCCTTCTACACCTCTCTTTCCAAATTTTCCAAAAGACCAACAAGGGAATGCTTCTAATCAAACCATGAGCCATCGAACTTTTTTTAAACACCTTACACATCCTTCTTAATCTAACCAAAAGAGCCTCCTCTGCAATGAGCTGAAACCATACCACAGTAGCCAACCTCCTCCAGATGGCTTCAGCAAGTGCACACCCATCAAACAAATGCTCAACACACTCCTTATTCTCATAGCATAAACAACACCTACTCATCACTGGAATACCAACCTTTTTGATTTTGGCATCCACAGGAACGACATCCATCAAAATTTTCCACCCAATCAATTGAGCACTAGGTGCAGTGCATATATCACAAATACAAACCGCAGTATCATTTCTTTGCCCAGACTGCCTGCACCCATGGCAAGCTTCTTTGATTGAAAACATCCCAGAGGTGGACCCTTGCTATACCAATTTATTATCCATCTCATTCAGAATTACACTAGAACTCATAATCATATGTAGCAAAAGGTCATTTAGTAAATTATCCACAGCACCCAATTGCCACCAAGAATCCAAAACCATCTCAGATAACCTCGAAAAAACCTGTGGAGAAAACTCCACCTTACTTAATAGAGGTTCATCCCCCATCCAATTATCACACCAAAAGTCAATTTGAACCCCATTCCCAACCACCATCCTAGATTGAGTCACTACCCCTTAAAAAATAAGGTCTTAGCATCTCCAAAGCCTTAAAATGACTCCTTCCCACACATCTCAACAAATGCCTCCCCTTCAAGAATTTGACAGAAAAAACTTGAGCCCACAAGGAGGTCCCTTGCATTAAACTCCACATTTGCTTCATCTGAAAAGCCACCTACACCTCCTCAAATTTCCTAAAGGCCAAGCCACCCTCATTCTTAGGCATAGTAACCTTCCCCCAAGACACCCAATGCCTCTTCCTCACATCCAATTTATTAGACCAAATAAACTCTGCCATTAAAGAATTCAGCTTGAAAATCACAACTCTAGGTAAGTTCAAACGTGCCAACAAGTGGATGCGAACAGTACTCAGTACATACTGCACTAGAAGGACTCCTCCCATATTGGATAACATCCTAGCATACTAACCCTCCAACTTCTTTCTAAACTTACACAATAGCTCCTCAAAATACCTGAGCCTTGTTCTCCTTTTAGTTATAGGGAACCCTAGATACGTAAAGGGCATTCCATAATAGGAATACAGGTCACAGCAGTCAAAACCTGTCTCCTAGCCACACATATATGCTTAGAACACAACATAGAGCTCTTATGAAGATTCACCCTTTGCCTATAACAAAGCTCATACTTTTTAATAAAGGCAAACAAATTCACCACAGATTGCTTGTGTCCCCTAAGAAGCACCAATGTATCATCAGCAAACAAGAGATGACTAACCAAAGAATAGCCATTTCCCAAATGAAAACTCTTCACCAAACCATCCAAATATAACCTCCTCAAACCTCTATTAAGCACCTTTTCTACAAGGATAAAAAGACATGGAGAGATTGAGTCTCTTTGCCTGAGATCCCTAGAGGTAGGGAAAAATCCTTTCCTTTGCCCATTGATGCAGATAGAAATAAACTGATTCTCCAAGCAATTTGCAATGATTTTCCAAAACAGCTCAGAGAAACCAAAGCTAGCCAATACCATCAACAAAAAATTCCACTCTAACCTGTTGTATGCGTTCATCATAGCTAATTTTAAGATTAGATTTTTAGCCTCCACCTTCCTGTCTAAGTCACCCACCATAAACTGTGCCAAACCAATACACTCACCAATACTTCGACGCCTCACAAATGATAAAGTGGTATACTAAAAGTTTATTCTTGCCATTTTGTTGAGAATCTATATGGGCAAAATATTTGTATTATATTTTATAGATGATATAGATGTGTGTCTTATATTTTACATTGTAGATAATCTGGTGTGTAGAGTTCGGCTTATGCACAGAAGACCAGATTATCGAATCCTTGTATAATATGAGTATATGTTCACAATCGTAAATGGAATTGGACACGCTATCGGCATGATTATAGTATAATATTTTGGCATAATTTGTCTTGATTATAGGAGATTGTTTGATGTCTCAGATTATTGCACTAGTACACTTTGTGTATTGGAAAGACCCATGCTGAGGTTATTATCTTTTACTGATTTCATAAGATAAAAAATACCTCATGATTATTATGATTGCTTATACTCTTAATCCATAAATATTTAATTGTCATGTGCATAATGTTTGTCACTTTAATTCATTAAAGAGTGAGATTCATATTGGGTCAATAAGCTCGATGAATTGGGAGACAATGTTATTTGTATGGTGGAAATTAAATATTAAAAAAAATTACGTCCTAGTATTTAAAAGGATTGATGATGTCCTTTTGAAGAAACTCATAAGTTTTGTCCATATCAAACCTTGTAGGTGGATTTAATTATCCGACATGACAAATAAGTTGAGTGATAAAGTCTCAAGCAATAACAAAAGTCAATTAAATATAATTGTCAGTAATTTATTTAATTGATGGACATTTGTAATCTTAAATGTGGGGAGATTATTAAGCATATAATAATAAAGAACTTGAATATAATTTTGAGATAAGGCCCAGAAGATCAATAATAAGTCTTTAGTGGACTGACTTATTATTAATGAGATATAGGATGTTTGTTTTGGGTTGAACATAGGAATCCTAAACCCATTGGGAGCTCAGTTCTTATTTCTTCTTAGGGTCTCTGTCATAGCCTATATATAGACGTTTAGGTTCTCTATTTCAGCATCTTATCTTTACTCACGTTTTTAGGGAGGTTGAAAGAGAAAGTAAGGATTCAGAGGTCTTGGTAGCCCACACTGCATTTGAATTTTGACGTTGGGGGATATACGACAGAAGGCCGCGAGGTTTGTTGAGCTGTAGTTGTTGTTCTGTTCTACGTTTGTGCTGAGATGAGATCAGTCCCGAGAGATCTTGAAGGTAAACCCGAATTCTGCCTTGTAGGCTTTTAAAAGAAAATTTTGGATATTTGATACATACGCGCGATGTCAACGATTCTTGGAATTTCCGTTCCAACAACAAATCGATGCTGGTCAATAAAAACCAACTCAGGTAATACAAAAGCAAGCCTTGTAGCCAACAATTTAGTAGAAACCTTGTAAAGAAAGTTACATAAACTAATAGGCCTAAAATCAGTAAAGGAAGTAGGGTTAGACTTATTAGGTATCAAGGTCAATAATGTAGCATTTACTGACCTAGGTACCTTACAACCTTTTAAGAAAAAAATCACTACAACAACCATATGACCTTTAATCACATCCCATGCCACCTGAAAAAAACTTACCAGACATCCCATCAGCACCAGGTGCATTGTGCACAGACATAAAAAAACACCACGACCCTTACCTCCTCCACAGTGGCTTCACCTGTAAGTCTAACATTTTCCTCCTCTCCAACTAATTCATGAATGACAGAAAAAAGGTCTTTATTAAGATCATGGTGCTCCGATGTATACAAACTAGAATAGAAATCTTCTGCAACCCCACCAAATCTCATCATTAGTACAGACCTAATCACCAACATAATTTTGGATCCTATTAATCTTATTTCTCACAACCTTCCCTTTGGCCAATGCATGGTAAAACTTTGTATTTTTCTCACCCTCCATTGCCCATCTTACATTAGCTTTCTGCCTCCAATACACCTCTTCCAACCTTAACACTCCATTAAGTTCCTTCTGTGCATCATCCAACACTTTCCTATTGGCAACAGAATCAGCTTGCTCAAGTAACACCTCAAGCCTCTGTACCTCCAACTCCTTGGACCTTATTTTTCCAAAGATATTCCCAAATACATCCTTGTTCCACTTTTTCAAATGCAATTTTAAGTACTTAAGTTTTAAAAACACATTTTCAATGGGATTCTCAGCATATTTACCACCCAATTTAGGTATCACCAAAGGCAAAAAACTGAGATCTTCAACCCACATGTCCTGAAACTTAAAATAAGAGGTTCTCTGTTGTTGGAAGTCAAAAAAATTAATTAGCAAAAGCCAGTGATCATATTTCCCTCTTTCCAAGTGCATCACATCAGTCTTAGCAAACTTCATCCCCCAATTGGTATTCATTAGGACCCTATCAATCATTTTCCGCATCCTAGAATTCCCCTAGTGATTGTTACACCAACTAAAACTACTGCCAGTGAAACCACCATCAATCAATCCAGTAGAATGAATGAAATTACAAAACTCTTCCATAGACACCACCGAGGGAAAAGCTTCGCCCAACCTTTCTTCTAAATTCACAATAGCATTGAAGTCTCCAACCACCAACCATGGACAAGTGGATGGCATAGGCTGACCCAATAAATGCTGCCATAAGGGCCTACACAAAATGTGATCACAATAGGCATATACAATAGAAACATAGACCACATCAGAGCCTAGGTAAGAAACCTCAACTATCAAAGCTTGTTCAAACTGACACAATACATTGACCTTAACTCCATCATCCCACAACAACCAAATATTTTTCTCAGCTAGACTATTAACAACAAAATGAGAAAGATCCAAATTGGAGGATAAATCGGGCAACTTATCCATACCTAGCTTAGCTTCTTGAATCGCCACCATACAGACATCATTCATCTCTATTAGCTTTTTAAGTCTTCTTCTCTGGACCACCTTCCCTACCCCCCTTATATTCCAAGATAAAAAACTAATCATAGGAAATGAGAAGAAAGATTAACTCTAGACACCAGTCTAGTAGACGCCTCTACTGAAGTCATAGGACTAGCAACTGAGTCCACGTAGTCCTCCACCACCTGGTCCTCTAAATTCTCCACACTCTTAGAACTTTCTTTGTCCAAAAATACCAATTATCAGGAGATTCTTTCCTTCTTACCAACCGTAAATTATCATCCAAGGGGAGCATAGAGACCACCTTAGGAAGAAATTGATGATCAATGCAAAAAGAAGACCCCTCTAACCACTACTCCTTCCCAGAAAAGATTCTCCATCCTTTCTTCTCCACACCCAATTCCTCCTGAAGTTGTACTGACATAATCTCACAAGGATCGACTACATCGTGCTTCATAACCAATTCATTCCTTTTCCCTTCCATATTTACTTCCTCCTCCTGCCTAAGAACTTCAGTGTCCTTCTTGCCATCTGCATTCCCTTCCCCTAAAGAATCATTCTCCTCACTGGCTTGATTTCCCATAGAGATAGGCACTACATGCTGATCTACGCGTAAACAGTTCTCAGCTTCCAGATTGAGACTTTGCTTATTAGTTTCCAAACCCAAAGCTTCAAATCTATTAAGAATTTTTTGTTTAAACTCCTTCCTAGGCTTCGTCTTTTTTACCTCCTTAATTACAACTTTCCCTTTGTCAACATTCTTCTTAACTTCTTTGCCTTTATCATCCAGAATATAACTTTCCTTCCCCTCCTTTAAACCATCTCTATCCTTCCTCTTTCTTCGACACTCAACATCAGAGTGTCCTTGCTTCAAACAAAAAGAGCAATACTTACATTNGCTGGTCAATAAAAACCAACTCAGGTAATACAAAAGCAAGCCTTGTAGCCAACAATTTAGTAGAAACCTTGTAAAGAAAGTTACATAAACTAATAGGCCTAAAATCAGTAAAGGAAGTAGGTTTAGACTTATTAGGTATCAAGGTCAATAATGTAGCATTTACTGACCTAGGTACCTTACAACCTTTTAAGAAAAAAATCACTACAACAACCATATCACCTTTAATCACATCCCATGCCACCTGAAAAAAACTTACCAGACATCCCATCAGCACCAGGTGCATTGTGCACAGACATAAAAAAACACCACGACCCTTACCTCCTCCACAGTGGCTTCACCTGTAAGTCTAACATTTTCCTCCTCTCCAACTAATTCATGAATGACAGAAAAAAGGTCTTTATTAAGATCATGGTGCTCCGATGTATACAAACTAGAATAGAAATCTTCTGCAACCCCACCAAATCTCATCATTAGTACAGACCTAATCACCAACATAATTTTGGATCCTATTAATCTTATTTCTCACAACCTTCCCTTTGGCCAATGCATGGTAAAACTTTGTATTTTTCTCACCCTCCATTGCCCATCTTACATTAGCTTTCTGCCTCCAATACACCTCTTCCAACCTTAACACTCCATTAAGTTCCTTCTGTGCATCATCCAACACTTTCCTATTGGCAACAGAATCAGCTTGCTCAAGTAACACCTCAAGCCTCTGTACCTCCAACTCCTTGGACCTTATTTTTCCAAAGATATTCCCAAATACATCCTTGTTCCACTTTTTCAAATGCAATTTTAAGTACTTAAGTTTTAAAAACACATTTTCAATGGGATTCTCAGCATATTTACCACCCAATTTAGGTATCACCAAAGGCAAAAAACTGAGATCTTCAACCCACATGTCCTGAAACTTAAAATAAGAGGTTCTCTGTTGTTGGAAGTCAAAAAAATTAATTAGCAAAAGCCAGTGATCATATTTCCCTCTTTCCAAGTGCATCACATCAGTCTTAGCAAACTTCATCCCCCAATTGGTATTCATTAGGACCCTATCAATCATTTTCCGCATCCTAGAATTCCCCTAGTGATTGTTACACCAAGTAAAACTACTGCCAGTGAAACCACCATCAATCAATCCAGTAGAATGAATGAAATTACAAAACTCTTCCATAGACACCAACGAGGGAAAAGCTTCGCCCAACCTTTCTTCTAAATTCACAATAGCATTAAAGTCTCCAACCACCAACCATGGACAAGTGGATGGCATTAGCTGACCCAATAAATGCTGCCATAAGGGCTNTTCAATTTACCAAATTAATAATAAATTAATATATAGTTCATCAAATTAACACAAAAATTAACATTCAGTCCATCAAGTTAACAATAAATTCACAATCAAATTAACATTTCATCCCGTTAACATTCAATTCGTCAAATTAACATTTATTTCATCCAATAATCATTGAATTCATCAAATCAACACAAAATTAATATGTATCTTCTTTTAATTAACATTCAATTCATTAAATTGGCGTCCAAATTCATCCAATAAATATTCAATTTATCAAATTAATATNTGAGAAAGATCCAAATTGGAGGATAAATCGGGTAACTTATCCATACCTAGCTTAGCTTCTTGAATCGCCACCATACAGACATCATTCATCTCTATTAGCTTTTTAAGTCTTCTTCTCTGGACCACCTTCCCTACCCCCCCTTATATTCCAAGATAAAAAACTAATCATAGGAAATGAGAAGAAAGATTAACTCTAGACACCATNTAATACCCAAATTCATCTAATTAACTTTTAAATCATCAAATTGATATACAATATCATCCAATTAGCATTTAATTCATCAAATTTAAAATTCATAAATATTTTAGGATACAAAGTATAATTTAGCCATTTAACAAATTAGGACGTTAAAGTGGATCCTATTTAACCAGTTCAATCTTGATTATTTTATTATTTGAGTTCTTCGAGGATGAAAGATTGATTAGGTGAGAGTAGATGAGAGTAGAGAGTTTTTCGATGATCCGATTGAATTCTTCAACTGATTGATCAATTGAATTCTTTAATCGATCTCACACGAGTTCTTCGATGATTAACCGTGAATGTTTTGAATTGCCCTTATTTGTTTGATTGAAAGACGATCGACCATGAATGGTCATGACCTGCCTTAATTTTGTAAAGGTTAGTTTTAATATTATAATTTTGCCCCGAATAGGTTATAATTTTTCTGAATTGGGTTCCACCCTTTTAGGTGGAAGGTGGAATTTATTATTTTTTTGTGTGAGATTACAACTTTTGGGGTGTTGTTCCGACTTTTAGGTGAGTTATAACTTTTCGAGAATGTTACTGTTTATAACGTATTGGGATTTGGGAGGGTGTTACTAACTTTTTTGGTGTGTTACAACTTTTGAGATTTAATTACAATCTTTTTTGCATTACAACTTTTTTATTCAAATATATATCGATTTCACTGATCATATAATTTTTTTTAGTGAATACGTAAAATATAAGGAAGATCATTTATTTTTTGGTAATATATCGCAAAATAAGTGGCGGTACTAAAATGTAATCCCACCCCCTAAGGGTCAATCAATTTTATTTTTTAGAGAACATATTTTTAAACTAACTCTAGTTATGGTCACTATATCATATGTGTTTATGTTACTATGTGATGACCCCCTTCTCCAAACATGGTTAAGATTATTGTATTAAAAAAATTATTATCTTAAAATAAATTATTTTTTGAGTTAATTTATTATTAAATAGTGTTAAATTATGAAAAAATTTAAAATTAATTCTAAATATTAGAATTGATTATGAAATGTTAGGATTTAACATAAATAATCTTATTTTTACGATAAAAAAAAACATAAATGATATTATTTCTTTTTTAATTTCAACAAATTTAATTGTATAGTAATTTTTGTACTACCCCCAAAACAACTTTTCTATAATTACCCAACCTATAGGTTGCAGGCATTCTCTAATAACAATTTTTTTTTTTTTGGTTTATCAGGGCATAAGAGTTTCATGTTGTAGATATATGATATTGGCTAAAACATATTACACAGCAATGTAGCTATGAAACACAAGAAGCCGCAATGAAATTTGTACACTAAATTAAAGGAAAAAGGACAACTTGAATTGTCCAAATTAACCACCGTGGTGGTACCTCAGTTTGGGAACATCGTTCAATATGAAACAAATAAATATTAATACAACACAAGCCAAAAAAAAAATCTTAGTACAACAACCGACAAAGATGACAAAGAAGAAGTACAATATTTACAATCTATCCCAAACTCAGGACAACCTAGTATTGCAATCAAGGCAAAGCTCACAACTTCTTCACCAAAAGGTTCGCTCCATGTCCAGGCTCGACGACCAAATTCAGAGCAGGTGAGTGAACATATTTTGGGGAGAGAGAGAAAGAGAAATTCGACAAAATGAGTGATATTAGTATCTTCAGTTCAACCAAGGCCAAGTTCTGCCCAAGACAGACTCTTGGTCCAACCCCAAATGGCATGTACAAGTGTGGAAGCTTGCAAGCACCTGTGATCCCATTTGCAAACCTGTCTGGATTGAATTTGTAGGAGTCTGGTCCCCAAATTTCAGGGTCAGTGTGGAGTGTTGTCACCAAGGTCCAGAGATTCACACCCTTGGGAACATTAATGTTTCCAAATTTCATGTCTGTCAAGGCCTCCCTTGACACCACAACCACTGGGGGGTAAAGGCGCAGTGACTCATTTATCACCATAGTCAGCTGCAAATCAAGTTNACTTCCTCCTCCTGCCTAAGAACTTCAGTGTCCTTCTTGCCATCTGCATTCCCTTCGCCTAAAGAATCATTCTCCTCACTGGCTTGATTTCCCATAGAGATAGGCACTACATGCTGATCTACGCCTAAACAGTTCTCAGCTTCCAGATTGAGACTTTGCTTATTAGTTTCCAAACCCAAAGCTTCAAATCTATTAAGAATTTTTTGTTTAAACTCCTTCCTAGGCTTCGTCTTTTTTACCTCCTTAATTACAACTTTCCCTTTGTCAACATTCTTCTTAACTTCTTTGCCTTTATCATCCAGAATATAACTTTCCTTCCCCTCCTTTAAACCATCTCTATCCTTCCTCTTTCTTCGACACTCAACATCAGAGTGTCCTTGCTTCAAACAAAAAGAGCAATACTTACATTGTTTTTCATAGACAATCTTCTACCACCTCCCACTCGACCCACCCATATCCAACCAGAACTGCCTAGAGTTCTCAACAAGCAAATTTACTTCCACACATGCCCTCACCACTCCAGGTCTAGATAGAAACAAAGTGGGTTATCGATAACCAAGATCCTCCCAATTGGACTCAGAATGTCTGTTAAACTTTCTTGATTGAACAAATGAATCGGCAAACCAGGCAATGACACCAAGATGGGGACCACCGGAGGTTCAACACTAGGTTGGAATTCTGAAAACCATTGGTAGAAGTGAAATAGGAAATCTTCTATGTATGTAGCATCTTTGAGCCAGGCCTTGACATAATCCTCATAGAGATTAAATCGAATCAGCACATGACGAGGCATGAGGATCAAGAATACCCATTGTGAATTCCCCCTTTAGCATCCATCGAGTAGCTATGAATTTTCTTATAACCCCCAACAAGGGTTTCCCGTATGCGCATTTAGCAATTAGGGTTTGGTTGAACCTATTCGACAACTCTTGGGTTTCTTCAGCAGTCCAGTACATCCCCGGCTCGCCATTATTGAAAACAACCCTCTTCGCTGGTCTAGAAGTGGTCGTAGATATCATAGGAGGCTTTGATGTTTCAAGATCTTGACTTCGCAACAAAGCATTTGTCGAATCACTTTCTTGAATTTCAACAAAAAGTGGATTCAAGGAAATCGAAAGAATCAAAGGATTCTTAAACAAATTCTTTGTTATGTTATGTGGTTCAGGCAGAATTAATCGAAGATTATGATCATAATTCATAGTGAATGAGAAGAAATCAAAGAAATTAGTTAGACGAAAATTGCACAAGTCCTCTCCCCTCTTTTTTTCTTCCTTTGTTTTGTTGTCTGGTGCTTTTAAACACCTATTTGGCTAAAGCTTAACAAAATAAGCATACCCAAGAGCTACTTCAAAATTCTTAAGTGCCACTAGGTGACTACCAACTTTGTTTAATTTAGTGAACATTAAATTCATCAAATTAATATCTTTAACATTCAATATCATCCAATGAATATTCAATTTATCAAATTAATACCAAATTAATTTCAATACATCCCATTTGTATTCAAACAAATTAAGCCTCAATTCATCAACCTAACATCCCAAATCAACACTAATATAACATGTAATTTCTTGAAATTAACGTTCAATTTGTCACATTAAATCCAAATTCATCTAAGTAACATTCAATTTACCAAATTAATAATAAATTAATATATAGTTCATCAAATTAACACAAAAATTAACATTCAGTCCATCAAGTTAACAATAAATTCACAATCAAATTAACATTTCATCCCGTTAACATTCAATTCGTCAAATTAACATTTATTTCATCCAATAATCATTGAATTCATCAAATCAATACCAAATTAATATGTATCTTCTTTTAATTAACATTCAATTCATTAAATTGGCGTCCAAATTCATCCAATATATATTCAATTTATCAAATTAATATTCAATTAATCAAATTGACTTCACATTAATACCCAAATTCATCTAATTAACTTTTAAATCATCAAATTGATATACAATATCATTCAATTAGCATTTAATTCACCAAATTTAAAATTCATAAATATTTTAGAATACAAAGTATAATTTAGCCATTTAACAAATTAGGACGTTAAAGTGGATCCTATTTAACCATTTCAATCTTGATTATTTTATTATTTGAGTTCTTCGAGGATGAAAGATTGATTAGGTGAGAGTAGATGAGAGTAGAGGGTTTTTCGATGATCCGATTGAGTTCTTCAACTGGTTGATCAATTGAATTCTTCGATCGATCTCACACGAGTTCTTCGATGATTAACCGTGAATGCTTTGAACTGCCCTTATTTGTTTGATTGAAAGACGATCGACTATGAATGGTCATGACCTGTCTTAATTTTGTAAAGGTTAGTTTTAATATTATAATTTTGCCTGAATAGGTTATAATTTTTCTGGATTAGGTTCCACCCTTTTAGGTGGAAGGTGGAATTTATTATTTTTTTGCGTGAGATTACGACTTTTGGAGTGTTGTTCCGACTTTTAGGTGAGTTATAACTTTTCGAGAATGTTACTGTTTATAATGTATTGGGATTTGGGAGGGTGTTACTAACTTTTTTGGTATGTTACAACTTTTGAGATTTGATTACAATCTTTTTTGCATTACAACTTTTTTATTCAAATATATATCGATTTCACTGATCATATAATTTTTTTTAGTGAATACGTAAAATATAAGGAAGATCATTTATTTTTTGGTAATATATCGCAAAATAAGTGGCGGTACTAAAATGTAATCCCACCCCCTATAGGTCAATCAATTTTATTTCTTAGAGAACATGTTTTTAAACTAACTCTAGTTATGGTCACTACATCATATGTGTTTATGTTACTATGTGATGACCCCCTTCTCCAAACATGGTTAAGATTATTGTATTAAAAAAATTATTATTTTAAAATAAATTATTATTTTTTGAGTTAATTTATTATTAAATAGTGTTAAATTATGAAAAAAATTAAAATTAATTCTAAATATTAGAATTGATTATGAAATGTTAGGATTTAACATAAATAATCTTATTTTTACGATAAAAAAAAAACATAAACAATCTTATTTCTTTTTTAATTTCAACAAATTTAATTGTATAGTAATTTTTGTACTACCCCCAAAACAACTTTTCTATAATTACCCAACCTATAGGTTGCAGGCATTCTCTAATAACAATTTTTTTTTTTTTGGTTTATCAGGGCATAAGAGTTTCATGTTGTAGATATATGATATTGGCTAAAACATATTACACAGCAATGTAGCTATGAAACACAAGAAGCCGCAATGAAATTTGTACACTAAATTAAAGGAAAAAGGACAACTTGAATTGTCCAAATTAACCACCGTGGTGGTACCACAGTTTGGGAACATCGTTCAATATGAAACAAATAAATATTAATACAACACAAGCCAAAAAAAAAATCTTAGTACAACAACCGACAAAGATGACAAAGAAGAAGTACAATATTTACAATCTATCCCAAACTCAGGACAACCTAGTATTGCAATCAAGGCAAAGCTCACAACTTCTTCACCAAAAGGTTCGCTCCATGTCCAGGCTCGACGACCAAATTCAGAGCAGGTGAGTGAACATATTTTGGGGAGAGAGAGAAAGAGAAATTCGACAAAATGAGTGATATTAGTATCTTCAGTTCAACCAAGGCCAAGTTCTGCCCAAGACAGACTCTTGGTCCAACCCCAAATGGCATGTACAAGTGTGGAAGCTTGCAAGCACCTGTGATCCCATTTGCAAACCTGTCTGGATTGAATTTGTAGGAGTCTGGTCCCCAAATTTCAGGGTCAGTGTGGAGTGTTGTCACCAAGGTCCAGAGATTCACACCCTTGGGAACATTAATGTTTCCAAATTTCATGTCTGTCAAGGCCTCCCTTGACACCACAACCACTGGGGGGTAAAGGCGCAGTGACTCATTTATCACCATAGTCAGCTGCAAATCAAGTTTAAATAATAATACACAGTTAGTACAGAGTTTGGTAGCTTTTAGGACATGGATGACAGTAACCCGATTCATTTGTAAATTAAAAACCCACTCGATCTAGATGGTTATAAAATCAAGTCACAGTAATGTTTTGTTTGATAGGAAAGATAGAAAATAAGAATGATGAAAGTAGGAGAGGTATATTTTTTATCCTTTAAAGAAAGAAAGTAAGAATGATACACTTTGCTTTTTTTGTGTTTGGTAGGATGAATGGAAAATAGAAATTATTAAATTTTTTTTTTGCTGGCTAAGATTAGGGATGATAATCGAGTGGTGTCGTATCAGATTTGTGTTAAGTCATTACGGATTTGTGTTGAACATTAGTCAAACCTAACTTAACTTATTTAACTAATTGTGTCATGTCGAAATGACCTATTTATTTTTGTGTCGTGTTTGTTTTCATGTTGACCCACATAAATTTTGAATAAAAAATTTAACGTTAATATTCTATTTTCACTTAATTAAATTCATGTTTATATTTTTTCTAGAAACTAAAAATTAAATTAAATTAATATAATAATAATAATATTTTTTTATATAATAATTATGACAACACTTAATAAATAATTACAAATAATTAACATTTTTATGTCTATAATATTAGTTAAATATGTTAGTTTCGTGTTACCATACAAACGAAAAAATAAAGAAAGTGTTTATTTTTAAATAAACGGGTTGATGGTGTTAATTTTGAGTTTGACAAATTGAATTGAATATAAGGCGTTTATATTTCTTGTTTGCGTGTCAGGTCATTTTCAAGTTTATATCATAAAATTCGTGTCGAGTTTGAGTTGTGTCATCGTGTTGAGTCGAAAATTTTCACCCCTAACTAAGATGAAACAAATATTTTTTTAATTTAACATTTTTATTTTTATTTTTTTTAATTTATTTTTAAAAATATATATATAAATACATATTTTATTATTGTATTTTTATATGAAATTAATATATATATATATATAATATATGTATATATCAAAAAGATAAATAGACATCAACACAAATAATTAACTTTTGATCCATTTTTTTTTTATTTTGGTGAGTTCAAAAAAAAATTAATTCATCCACTTTTCATTCTTTACCAAATATAATGTTTTATTTATCCTTCAAATTTTTCATCTTTTTAACTTTTTATCTTTCTATTTATCCATCGTACCAAACGAAACATAATCCTCACAAGCATCCATACAATGTCAAATGAAAAAAAAACCTAGTCATGTTGACTTATCATATCGAATAGTGTCCCATTGTCCTCTAATATGTTGTTAATTAAGATGATGCTGGAAAATGAAATGGAATCCTACTATGATACCTGTTTCATCTTCCGAATCATATCAGAATCTGGAATTCGACCTCTGCAAATCTGGACAACCTCGGCACGAATCCGATCTTGCCATTCTAGATTTGAAGCCAACAACATAAGACACCATATGGCTGAAACCGCAGTGGTCTCGTACCCAGCCAAATAGATGTTTTTGCAGTTATCAACAATAAATCGGTCAATATCATCTTGGCTTAGATCACTGTTTCTAGCACCTTCAAGAACCATTTGCAATAGGTCCTTCTCATAACCAGCTTCATTCCTCTCCTTCACCACCTTCAAGACTAGTGTGTGAATCTCCTTCTGCAATGCCCATGCTTCCCTGTTGCTCTTTGTTGGAAGATGTCTGCGATATAGGGTAGGATTAAACTAGTTTCCTTCTCTCTTGATCGGGAAAAATGGTTTCATTGGTCAAAAATTTAGATGTATAATAATATAGTTTAAAACACGCCCCGAATAGTAATATATATATATATATATATAACTTTGAATTATTATTATTGAATAAATCGAGAATTTGAATGACTCGTGTATATTTACTAGATCTAACCCTCCAAGGGAGGCGATAGCAAAATGTGAACCATGTAAATCTATATGTTTTTTGTATTTTACAAAACTTAAGAAAAAATGATACCTCATGCCAGGAATCCCAGTTGTCAAGACTTTCTTGGAAAAAATATCCTGGAGAGCTCTAAGTCTCAAGAAAATTTCTTCCCCCCTAGAATAATTGCTACCAAAACAAGCTCTCGAAATCACATCCCCAGAGAAGCTTCTCAAGTAATTGTCTATTTTTATGTCCGCCACACCACCCTCAGCCTCAATTAGACCATTCCATGAGCTCACCAACGTTATTGCTGAATCCGTAATTAGCCTTGTCATTCCCTACAAGTGCCAAACTTGTTACATGAATTTACTCTTTTTTTTTTGCAAAATAAAGTTAGGTAGAATTCAAAGTAGTTCAAGTGATAACATAAATGAACTATAAACCGATTATCCCGAGTTCAAATAACCCTTTGGGGTTAAATTATGAAAGATTTGTCCTTTACCAATACCTAGGCCCAACGTGGATGGTTTGCTTTTGACCGGACCGAAGAAAAAATTAGTTGAAATACACATAAACTGGTCGAGACATAAAATAAAATAATAATAATAAAGCTAGGAAGTAACAAGATTCTTTTTTTTTAATCGATAAAATTGGATATACAATATAGTTATTGACATTGATATTGTACCTTAACCTTCTCCATGTACAATTCGGGTGCAATGATTTTCCGTTGGTGAGCCCAGTAAGCGCCATTGGAAGTGAGAATACCATTTCCAAGCAAAGAACCGCGCTCTTTGGCTTGGTAGGAAGGCTTTCCCAAGTCTAAGGTTGTGGATGTGGTTATCTCTCTCACCATCTCAGGTTGAGTCACCAGAAGTATTTGTGTGTTGCCAAGAGCAAACATAAATAATTCCCCTGCACACACATCAAGTTTGGAGAGAGAGAAAATTACTCATCATGAATTGGGCATAACCATCAAGTAGTTAAACTATCAAATTAGATTAAAACAATATCTTCTTCTTCTTCTTTTTTTTCAACGGTGAGAAGTGTTCGACTCAGTTTACGTACACATCAATTAATTTATTTTTTGGTCCACTAAAAACAAGTCATCCACACCAGAACTAAAAAAATTGTCAAGATATAAACTCAAAACGTCTAAATTTTTAATTTATCTTTATTATCACTTGAACTATCGAATTTATTAACAAAGTATCTTCAAAGTTGGCAATTTTTGACTCATGGAAGAACTTTGGCCTTTTAAGGAAGGATCAAAATTCTGTTACATGTTTCCGGGTATTTGGCCATGTTCCGACCAATATTACAAAATATTATCAAATTAAAATTTCTTTGTNCAAGTTGATTTTGTATTTCTTTGATTTTGTCATTCCAGTAGATATGAATATCATGAGTGGGGTTATTTGTGTAACTTTTTGTGGTCCCCATGTCGGTTATTTCTCTCGTCCTTTTGGGAAAGAGGGTCGCCAGCATGGGAGGGATCAGGACTACGAAGTGGGATAGCAGGAGGCCCTTGGCACTAAGGCGCCCTTCCTTCTTCCTGATGTTGGGAGACGACTCTTTGAAGACTCCCCGTAAGCATTAGCATGAGGACCTATTGATTCTGGTTAGTCTCTAATAGTTGTTGGGATTTAAGGATGGGGTTCGCCAATAGTGGCAGGACCTCGTCTTGATGTGGGGAGGTAGCTTCCGCTTGGTGGTTTATAGATCTGGTTGTGATTGTCATTGAAGGTAGGAAGACTATAAAGTGATAATCANCATTATCAGGATTTGAATTACCTATTGAGATTAATTATGTTTGTACTTTAAGATAATGTATGAGTTTGGGAAAAGTATAATATTGATTTTTCAGTTAAAAAAATTTTTGAGTCTTATCAAAAATTATTTTTTTCGATATCGTATGTCTATTTTTTAAATAAAAAAATATTTTATATAATTTTATCATTTAACTTTTTTAATTAATAATTATAAATTATAAATCATCCAATCAAAAATTAAGGGCTTATGTTGATAGAATTAGATAGCAGATACGGCAGTCTTACCCAAAAGAACTGCATCAATGGNACGGTTGGATCTAGGTGACCTAACCATTAAAAACGACAACGGTGGCTGAAGATTGAAACCACACATACTTGACTAATTTAATCGTGCATCATTGACTTTGTGCATCACCATATGCTATACTGCATTTTAGTTTTTATTTTAATTATTACATCAATATCTATATAATAAGATATTTTTTTTCTGGACTTGATTACGGTACTGAAAATAATTCGGTATCATACCTTCAAAATCTATTACTTCAATGAGTGTTTTTATTATTTTGGTGAATAATTTATCATATTTATAAATATTTTTATCATAATATAAATTTTAANATAGGTTTGACAATTTTAGACACGACACGAATTTAACTGATTTGTTTGTAGTTTTAATGAGTTTGAGTGGTTAACATGTTAACTTAAAAGACTCGTGAAATAAATAAATCAGTTTCGTGTTTAACCCATAAATTCGTTCCAACCCGTTTAACTCGTTAACAGTGAAACTATAATTTTTTTTTTTCAAAAAGTTAGGTCTCTTATCCTTTGCCTCACCTAACACCTTTCATCTCTCAGNCAAAATTTTTTTCTCAATAGCGATACCATTGATTATCACTTTGAAAGAAAAAATTACAATTGCTAAAGAAAAAGTCAAGATCGATCATGAACTCTTAGTATCAATTTTAATTTTTTATGATCGATTATATCTTTTAAAATTGTAACTTATACTTAGAAAAAAAATTATAATTTAATCTTAAAAAATTATAATTTTCGATACAGTACTATCGACGGTATCGTACATCATCTCATTCCTTTTTTCTGTTTATTGAATAAAAATAGTATTTAGATATCGAAATGGACTCCTCCTCGAAAAGTTAGAACCGGTAGTTGGGATGATGCATGCCGAAAANCAAACTCATTTATATAAATGAATAGGGTATGAATGGAAGATTTTTTGATACAAATTCGTTCCACTCAATATGAAACCGTTTTACTTGACACGATTGTCAAGCCTTTAGGTAAATATGGATTAGTAAGCTTAAATAACATTGGAGGTCTTATAGAGAAATTAATGTTTTTGATTGTTATTGTATTTTTATAAATTGAGAATTTAACCTTTTAATTATGATAGAATATAGATAGATATATGTTGATGATGTAAAAAATTGATTATACACAATCAAATCAGTCGAGTATGTGATGTAAAACAATTGATAAAGTAATCATAATAAGAGACAAAGATTGGGTAGTTGACTTTAGGTGACCTAACCACTGAAGGCAACAATAATAATTGGAGAACTCTATTAATGAGAGAGTACAAGATAGTAGGAGAGAGAAAAAGTGCAAAGGTATGCTCAAGATGCTTAAGGTGTAGTCGTATTTCCCGTGTGTTTAGGGTTTTAATAGTAATTCTAGCATATTCTTTGTGCGGGTGCTTCAAGACTGAAAACATAAGATTGAAGAACACAAGCCTTCTATGAAGGTCGCTATGATGACTTTGTCATTTGGTTCTTCAATCTGGAGGACTTTTTCATTAAAATGAGTGAAGTAACTCCTTAGCCTTTTGTCCCGATCCTATTTGATGTTGAGCAAGTGGGTGGTAGGCTTGTGGTGTTAGTGTCCCCTAATAAAGTGTGAGAGAAATGACTTGCTTAGTTTAGCAAAAGAGTCAATGGAAGCAGGAGTAAGCTTAGCAAACCACTGCCGAGCAAATCCCTTGAGGGTGGTAGGAAAAGTCCTGCACATAATCTCGTTTGGTATATTACACAGTTGCATCAAGAATTTGTAGGTGTCAAGGTGGTCCAACAGATCTTTGGAGCCATCAAAAGCTTCCACGGTTAGCATCTTAAACTTTGGGGGAATAGGGTAGTTGGCCACATCAAGCGCAAAGGGCGTGTCGGTACGCCTCACAAGGTAGTCGATCGTTTTAGGTCCTCACGCCTTCATGGCATTGTAAACATCAGCAAGTTGATTTTGTATTTCTTTGATTTTGTCATTCCAGTAGATATGAATATCATGAGTGGGGTTATTTGTGTAACTTTTTGTGGTCCCCATGTCGGTTATTTCTCTCGTCCTTTTGGGAAAGAGGGTCGCCAGCATGGGAGGGATCAGGACTACGAAGTGGGATAGCAGGAGGCCCTTGGCACTAAGGCGCCCTTCCTTCTTCCTGATGTTGGGAGACGACTCTTTGAAGACTCCCCGTAAGCATTAGCATGAGGACCTATTGATTCTGGTTAGTCTCTAATAGTTGTTGGGATTTAAGGATGGGGTTCGCCAATAGTGGCAGGACCTCGTCTTGATGTGGCGAGGTAGCTTCCGCTTGGTGGTTTATAGATCTGGTTGTGATTGTCATTGAAGGTAGGAAGACTATAAAGTGATAATCAAACCGTTTCTCACAGACGACACCAAATTAATGATGCACAAAATTGATTATTCACAATCAAATTAGTCAAGTGTGTGTGGTATAAAAAAATTAATGAAACAATTAGTAATAAGAGACAAAGATTGAATGGAGTTTGTTAGGTTCCATCCGGTCTACAAAAATAAAATGAGCACCTACGGTTGGATCTAGGTGACCTAACCATTAAAAACGACAACGGTGGCTGAAGATTGAAACCACACATACTTGACTAATTTAATCGTGCATCATTGACTTTGTGCATCACCATATGCTATACTGCATTTTAGTTTTTATTTTAATTATTACATCAATATCTATATAATAAGATATTTTTTTTCTGGACTTGATTACGGTACTGAAAATAATTCGGTATCATACCTTCAAAATCTATTACTTCAATGAGTGTTTTTATTATTTTGGTGAATAATTTATCATATTTATAAATATTTTTATCATAATATAAATTTTAATTTGATTTGATTTATAAATACTAATTAACATAAAATGAAAAATTCTAAGGTACCAAAATTTTTTTCTCAATAGCGATACCATTGATTATCACTTTGAAAGAAAAAATTACAATTGCTAAAGAAAAAGTCAAGATCGATCATGAACTCTTAGTATCAATTTTAATTTTTTATGATCGATTATATCTTTTAAAATTGTAACTTATACTTAGAAAAAAAATTATAATTTAATCTTAAAAAATTATAATTTTCGATACAGTACTATCGACGGTATCGTACATCATCTCATTCCTTTTTTCTGTTTATTGAATAAAAATAGTATTTAGATATCGAAATGGACTCCTCCTCGAAAAGTTAGAACCGGTAGTTGGGATGATGCATGCCGAAAAACGTTGAATTTCAGATGGCCGTCCAGAAGGAATTCCATCACTGTCAATTCTCAAAGCTTATAAATCTTTTCTCATTACATCTATCTTTTTCAATACATTATCTTATTCCTTATTTGATAGCAAATTTAAAGCCCGAGATTTGAATCCCAACCCGTAACAAGCTCGTAAATAAAATCAATCACGTGAACAAAACAGAAGAAAAAATTTCATAAATCCAATCCCTAAGGTAAAAATCAGTCAAGCAGCCCCTAGTTGTCTTGCTCCAATAATGGTTGGTGATTGAGATGGAAATTAATGGAGATTACTCATCTTCACATTGCCTTTTTTTTTAACCAATAGAAACTTTGCACATGTAAAAGTTTGTCGGTCATTGGGCTGCTGTTGACTCCACACTGGATTTAACTTTTAACTTAACAGTTTTACTTGTTATTTTTTTTAAGAAGACTAGTACCTTGTTCAAATTAAACCGGAGTCGTCAATTTTAATTTGAATAATTTATAATTATTAATTAAAAAATAATATAATAAAAAAATTGCATGTGATAT